CGGCCCGACTCCGGCTGCCGCACGGTGCTGCGGCTGCACCGCGCCCTGCGCTGGCTGCAGCTCTTCCTGGAGGGGCTGCGCTCCGGCGACTCCCGCACCTCCGTGCTCTGCACCGACGCCTACAACGCCTCGCTGGCCGAGCACCATCCCTGGGTCATCCGCAAAGCCGCCACCGTGGCGTTCTGCGCGCTGCCCTCCCGCGATGCCTTCCTGGAGATCATGAACGTGGGCCCGCCCGAGGAGGCCGTGGCCATGCTGGGAGAGGCCATCCCCTACATCGGCGACGTTTACAGCATCACCCAGGAGCTCTTCGCGCAGCATAAGCTGCTCGACCTGCCCTGAGGGCGCTTCCGGGATGAGCCCACGGTGAAAATCACATTTTTGCAGAAGCACAACCCCTCCGGTTCTCTGTCCGTGATTATTTTCACCTTTTCTTTCCGGCCTGCAGCCGAGGAGTTGGCCAAACTGGTCAGGATGCTTCACTTTATAAATGTGGAACGGTTCTTTTTTTACATCTTTCAGTTTGTGCATAGAGCTCTTCAGTTAGGGGAAAAAATCCATATCAGGTTGAGCTGCTAAGGGATTTATTTTTTTTGGTTCCCAGAAAAGGTTTTTCTTTTCAAGCCAACCTTGAGCAGCTTCTGTGTGTTTTCAGCAATAGTGGCCTCGTGTGCCAGCACACAATTGAGCTGTGGTGTCTGAACCCCATGGGAGCTCACCTGGCCACCGTGGTTTATACAAAAAACCCATCTAGGGGCTTCACCTGGAGAATTTAATCCTGAGTAATGCACTGGGGAAAGGAAGGTCCTTTCCCTGTCACAGCCACCTCATGGTGTGGCCCAAGGAGCTGAAGGAAGTGGGGCTGGATGTTCCTGGTGCAGGGATCCATCCAGCAGCACCCCTCTGTCACATCCCTGCTCGTTGAATCCAAGCTTTTTGCACTTGGGATGTGCAGTAGATTTTAATTTGTGCTGCACAATCCCCTTTGTCCAGCCCAACCTGGAGCTGTTTGCCTCTGAGTTGTATTCTCATGTGTTTTATTTCTTTTGTGAATGTGTCAAATGCCTACAAAAAGGATTTTTCTGCCTCTCTGAGGGGAAATCCACACTTGTACTGTAAATCACTGCTTTGTGAGGCTTCTGCCTTCTACTGAAAACCACTGGAAGAGCCAAAGTACATCACATGGGATTTACTGAGCTTTTGGGAAGCTGGAAAAGCTCTACAGGGTTAGTTCAGGATGGCAGGGACATGTGGGAGAATCCTGGACAGGCTCTGACAGGTTGTTGTCTCTTTTTGGCCTAATACAACACTGAAAAATTCAGGAAATCACTATTACCTCATGGAGACTGGACTAACTGGACATTAAATTATGTGAATAACATGTTTTTGAGGAGTGTCCTTTGTGGGATCACACTCTGGGGGTGTGGTGGTGGAAGGGACACGATTTACAGTGTGACCTACTCAGATTTTCTTTTCCCTGAAAAATCTGTTTCATTTCCAGCTGCTATTTCATCTGTACAATGAATTAAATGCCTTAAACTAAATCAAATAATGCATGTCTGTCAAGGGGAAAAATGGGTTTAGATCTCTTGAAATGATGGTATGACCACAAGAAAAAAATGTTTTCTCCCTTGTCACACTCGTTCTAAGTATTCCTCTTAGGAGATAAACATTAATATTGAAGATGAACTTACCCAAAATTCAGGATTGTATTTAGAACTTATTTTTTAAAAATTTATAATTAAAGCTGACACTTAAATAGTCCAGTAAAGGGAAAAGATCCTTAAAAAAATGTCAGTATGAACATACCTGGAAAACATAGCTGCAACTGGTGCTGAATAGATCACACGGACACAGGTCGAGGTGTGGTGAAAGGAAGAGAGAGTTTATTTTTCCTCCCAGGATTTATAGGCTTCTGACCACGGCCAGGAATTGGATGGTCAGGATAACACTTTCTCACTGCACTGGTCATGAGAGATGCCCATCACAAGACATGTAACAGGAAGAATGTACATGTATCTATGTTTACAGTTACTGTCCTGGGAAAGTCCTTAGAAAACTATGTTAGCAAGCTCAGAAGCTGAGTTTTCAGGGCGACAGTGCTTCCCTGAAGTATTCCTGTATTTAGATCTCTGTATCTGCTTCTCTTCCTGCAAGGAAAATATTCCAGCCTTTGAGCATTGCTTTGGCAGCAAAAGCAGTTTTCTGGTACAGGCAGCAAAAGCAGTTTTCTGGTACAGTAGAAAACGCAGGAAATTGAACTTTTCATTCAGAGCTCTCCTAAAATCCAACCCTGGACATTAAAAATACAGTAATGAAACCTAAATTACCATGCTGTGAACTTGGATTTAAGTTTTCAAACTGAAATTAATGTCCCAGCTCAGTGTGAGGGCAAAAAAAATTAGATCAGCCAGTAATAACTTCCTAAAGAATATAAATAGAGCTGAGTGACAGCTCACAAATCTTGTGACCTGGGAATGGCCTCTCCAGGCAAATTCCTGCCATGCCCTGAGGAAGATTTGGTTATTTCCATGATGAGGTGACCTCAAATTTAAAAAATAAATAGATAAAAATTACTGTTGTGTAAGTCTTTTACCAGAATTAGAGTGGGGCACCTGGGTTTTATCACCTCTCCCCAGAGGACCCCAAATTTCCACAGCTATGACAATGATTTGTAAATCACTCTGAGTAAAGGGTACTCACTAAGTAAAGGAAATCAGGATGAGAGCAATGGTTTGCACCTAAGTGCCCTCAGAGGGTATTTGGTTATTGCCCACTAAATTTAATTTAATGCATTTTGCTAAACAAATTCCCCCCCATTACTTCAATCCCTCCGAGCTCTATTTAAAGAGACTTCCCAGGAACAGCTGAGCCTGGATTCCCTGCTCGCCTTCCTTTTCCCAGATCCCTTTTCTCCCAAAATGAAGCTCCCTGGGCTTTGGCTGTGCGTGAGCTTTGGCTGTGCTGCCTCCCGCGGCCCCTCGTGTCTGTCAGCTCAGTTCAGGAGGCCGGGGGATTTTATCCTGGGGGGTTTGTTTCCCTTTGGGAAGGACATGGTGAACCTGACGGCTCGCTCAGAGCCCACCCTGCTGCGCTGTGAGAGGTAAGAGCAGGGCTGGGATCTGGGAAAAGAAGGGAAAATGAAGTGGTTCTGCTGGAGGTGGGATGGGACAGAGAATAGTTTGCACACTGGGACATCAACTGGTGCCAAAATGGAAATGCTTTTGTGTTCTACACTGATAGGTAGATCACATTTTGGGATGGTGCTGTTGCTTTTTAGGAGGACAAAGGACACTCAGCAGCAGGCACAGGGCAGAGCAGGAACCAAAATCAGATGGGTTTGTAGGTGTGAGCAGCATTTCCTCCTCAGTCACACCAGGCTGGTTCCCACCAGCACACCACCTACCCACAGTTCTAGGTGAGGAGAACAAGAAGCCAGGCTTGTGTCCTCCTCCTGCTCTGGCAGCAGCAAAGCTCAGGACAGCAGGGTCCAAAATCCTTCCATCTTCACATTCCTGGGGAATGGAACATGCTCAGTGTGCTGGGACACACAGAGAAGGAAAACCCCAGGAAAAATCCCACATTTCAATCGTGATCAGTCTCCTGAATTAGCACTTTGGGAATCTTTGGCTTAGTGGGTGAAGGACATAAAGTCTTGGCTCTCACAGCTAAACTGGTCTCTACCTCTGTTCCTTCTCCTGGGAAGCTCCAGGGATATTTTTGCTGGCAGAAAAGATTAAGTGAACTGGGAAGGTGCTGTCAGAGCAAAAAACTCATGAGTGGGTCCAGGGATGCTCTGCTGGCAACAGCAGGAATGTCTTGCTTGGCCACGTGGATGCCAAAATGTCAGAGGAGGTGACAGGGGACAGCACTGCCAGGCCACGTCACTCCTGTCCCCTCTGCCCCCAGGTTATTCATGGATGGGCTGATCTGGGCTCTCGGGATGAGGTTCGCCATCGACCAGATCAACAATTCCAGCTCCCTCCTGCCGGGAATAAGGCTGGGGTACGACATGTATGACACCTGCTTTGAGCCCCTGGTGGCCCTGCAGCCCAGCCTGCTGTTCCTGACCCGGAACGGCACCACAGGGATTGGGATTCTCTGCAACTACACTGAGTACCAGCCCCGCATCACTGCCATCATTGGGCCCCACAAGTCAGACCTCTGCCTGCTCACAGCCAAGCTCTTCAGCTCCTTCTTGATCCCACAGGTAAAAATGTCTCTGGAGAGGCAGGAATTCTTCCTTTTTGGTTCAGGTAATGAAACAACCTCCAGAATTGATACTTTATATTAATGTCTCAGTGTGAGCCAGAAGCCTCACTCAGACCACTTCCCAGTAAGCACGCCTGGTAATTTCCCTTTCTTCTTAAATAACAGCTCCAGAGATACATCCAGACATCCTTTCCCAAGCCTTTTATGAATTTTCTTCCTTTTTGGTGGGGAAGGGTTTGGTGGTAAAGCAGAGATTCCAGTCTTCCCTCTGTCACAGATTTCTTCAGTGCTCTTGGATGGGTCAGTAACTGCCCTCCTGGGCACACTCCAGTGTTTCATTTCCCTGAGAGAACAGACACAACTCAGACCACTCTGATCCATGTCAAATGGGAGTAATGCAGCTCCTAGAGGATCCCTTGTTAATACATCTGTGATTAAATACCCAGTTACCACAACAGAGCTCTCATGGTCAGGGAAATTAAACACTGAGCTAAGAAATAACAATCTTGAGTGTGTCACCCTGTGTAGAAATTATTTAATTATTGTTTCATAGTGATGAGAGACACAAAGGAGACACTTTATAGCTCTCTTGGTGAATCCCTTGGGAAGAATTCTTTTACTGCCAACCCTGACCATCATTTTGGAAAATTTAATGCACTAAAACTAAAGAAGAGAGGTGCGTGACCTGGGCTGGGGCCACTTCCATGTTTTCCTCCCTTCCTCTCTGTTCCATGGACAGGTGAGCTACGGAGCCAGCAGTGAGACCCTGAGCAACACGGAGCTGTACCCGTCCTTCTACCGCACCGTCCCCAGTGATAAGAACCTGGTGGAAGCCGTGGTGATGCTGCTCAACCAGTTTGGCTGGAACTGGATTGCCACAGTGGGCAGCGACGATGAGTACGGCCGGGGTGCCCAGGCTCTATTCCTGAGCATGGCTGGCAATAACAACATCTGCATTGCCTTCGAGGGGTTCATCCCCACAGACCTGGCTGAGCCCAACGCCAGGAAGCAGCTGGAAGACACCGTTAAATTAATTAACAGCACCAAAGTCAACGTGGTCGTGCTCTTTGCCTACAGCCTGCCTGCCCAGGCCCTGCTGGAACACAGCATCAGGATGGGGCTGGGCAAGAAGGTCTGGATTGGCACCGAGGCCTGGATGCTATCAGACGTCGCCGCCTACACGCCCAACATCCAAAGCATCGGGACAGTGCTGGGCTTTGTCTCGAGAACAGGGACAGTCCCTGGCTTCCAGGAGTACGTGGCTGAGCTCTTCAGCTCTGTTGAGCAAGAGAAATTCTGCCAGCAGTCCCGGGAGCTGAGCCGCCTCATGAACACCGAGGTGCTGGACACACACTGCCAGCAGTGTGACCACGTCACCCTTGGGGACATCTGGCCCCTGCTCAGGGTGACCATGGTGCAGCCGGTGCACATGGCTGTGTACAGCGTGGCCCATGCCCTGCACAGAGCCCTGGGCTGTACCTCTGAAGGCTGTCCCAAAACACCCATTAGGTCCTGGCAGGTGAGGAAAGATGTGAGGGCCAAATGGCAGGTTTTTGTCACATCACAGACAGACTGTCACAATCTTAGCCCACCAAAGGGACAACTGATTGTAGCTGGCAGAATTGCCATCCTCCAAACAAGAACAACCGTACCAAAATCTATTTTGATTTCATTTCCTCCCCAGCTGCTGCACTTCATGAACACCCTCCCGTTCGAGGTGAATGGCCAGAGCTTCAGGTTTGATCAATCCCATGGCACAAACACTGGGTATAAACTCATCTTCTGGGCCTGGAGGGATGGCACCCTGACCTACCTGCCCGTGGGGGACTATGACCAGTCCCTGTACATCCAGAAGTCCCAGATCCAGTTCCACACTGCAGATAAGAAGGTAACAATGGCACAATTTCTTCTTACTTGTTTGAGATTACGATTCTCCTGGAGGTGCCTGGCTGATGTTCATTCCTGCCTTTGCCAGGAGCCCACATCTGAGTGCTTCAGACGCTGCCAACCAGGACAATTCAGAAGAATAAAAGGATTCAATCTCTGCTGCTATGACTGTACAGACTGTTCAGAAAACACCTTCTGGAGCAGTACAGGTGAGGTCTGGGGAATTTAAAGGCTAACTGGATTTAACTGTCTCCTGGCTGAGGTGATGATGAGCTGGGAGCTCTCCTCCATAAGCACTGTCAGCTGTTCCCCTCTGTTCCGCACTTCACTCTTGGGCCCAGAGGGAAGGAATGAGGACATTTTATCTGCAGAGGTAGGAGAGAGTGGTATCATGGAATGCTGGGGGTATGCCTAGAATGGATAAAATTTTGGGATTGCTGGGGAAGGGAAACAGCAGCAAGAAATACAAGGGAGGAGGGTGGGGAAGTAGAGGGTGAACTACCACAAGATTTGGAGATCCAGCACACCTCGAAGGGAGGGAACCAGGCAAAACACCCCCTGAAACACCACCTAATCCCTGTGTGATCCACCCCCAAGGCCTGCCAGTGGTGGCAGGTCCTGTGGGGTGCTCACCAGGCTCTCTCTGCAGAAAGCACCAGCTGCTCCCCATGCCCGCAGCACCAGTGGGCCCCGGCCCGCAGCACACAGTGCCACGAGCGCACTGAGAGGTTCCTCTTCTGGGACGAGCCCGTGGCCGTGGCCTTGATGACACTGATGGCCCTGACGGCGGCCCTGAGCTGCTTGACAGCGCTGCTGTTCCTGAAGCACCTGCAGACCCCCCTGGTGCAGGTGGCAGGGGGTGGCAGGAACCTCTTTGCCCTGCTCTGGCTGCTGCTGCAGAGTCTCAGCTGCTGCCTGTACGTGGGCAGGCCCAGCGCTGGGCTGTGTGTGGTGCAGCAGCTCTCCTACGCCCTGTGCCTCAACGGCTGCTTCTCCACCTTCGTCCCCAAGGCCCTGGAGATCAGCCTGCTGACGGAATTCCCCCGCTGCGCTCCCAGGCTGCTGCGCTGGGTGACCCACGGCAGGGCCTGGCTGCTGGTGGCCGCGTCCCTCCTCACCCAGGCGCTGCTCTGCTTCTGCCACCTCCACTTAGGCCCCGATTACTTGGTGGCCGACTACAAATCCCTGCCCAGCGAGGTGGTGCTGGTGTGTGGCACCCAGTCCTGGGCTGCCTTTGCCCTCCTGCATGGCTACAACAGCTGCCTGGCCTTCGTCTGCTTCCTGTGTACCTTCATGGTGCAAACACCAGCCAAGAGGTACAACGTGGCCAGGGGCATCACCTTTGCCACCCTCATTTATTTCATCATCTGGATCTTCTTTGTGGTGGTTTTTGCCACGCTGAGGACAGTCCTCAGGGCTGTCACACAGATTTGCACCATCCAGGCCACCACCCTGGGGATCTTGGCCAGCTACTTTGTGCCCAAATGCTACATCATGGTGTTCAGGCCTGATCTGAACACGGGGGATTATTGCCAGAACCCTGCTGAGGAGGAGCCATAAGAAGACTCGGTGAACAGACAATAAACCACACCCTCTGTCACCTGTCATCAGCAGAAGCTGGATTTTCAGGAGAAAATCATGTTTATGAGCACTGTATGGCCCCAGGCACAATCACGTATGAACTAGAGCTGTGAAAGCATAGGGCTCAGCAGCTGAACTCCAGAGGAGCAGCCTCCATCCTCTCTGGAAACACCTTTCAGCCCCAAAAAGGAGCTAAAATTAGGTTCAAGTAATGAAATAACCTCCAGAAATGGTATTTTACATCAGTCTCTCAAGTCTTGCAATGTGAGCCTCACCAACACCACTTCCCTGTAAACACTTCTGGTAATTTGCCTTTCTTAGTAATTAACAGCTCCAGAGATATATCCTGGAATCCTTTCCCAAGACTTGTAAGAATTTTCAAATATATCCAATAAAAGAGAAGTACAAAGAACATTCTGACAGGTAACAGCAGTTGTGTATGTGATACAAAGGGGGCATTACCCATTCAAATCCCAGCTCATTCCATTTGTGTTCCATGGAAAACAGAGAAAGACACATGGAAATGAGCTCTGTGCAAATCACTCTCCAAAGGCACAGCAGGAGGTTCCTCCATCCCAAAAAAACAGGCAAAGATCACCAAAAAACTTCACACTGTTTCCAGCAGTACCAAGTCAATATCCAGTCATATCACCAAGATTTTTCTTTTCCCCACTCATGTTGATAAGTAACTATTCTGCTCTTTTATTCCTTGAAAGTTTTTCCATTTCTGCTTCCATTTGTTCCATCTCTCCACTGTGTGTTACTGGAATTTAATCAGTCCAGCTCAATTAAAGAATTTGCAAATTAATCTAAACCAGTGAGTATTTTCATTCTTAAAAAAAAAAAAATAAAGAAAATAAAGAACTTCTTGATGCACTGCAAAGTTTCTGGTCCCCAATTTTTGTGATCACCTCCATCCAAAATCATTCCTCAGTGTGATTAAAAAAAACCAAAACTCTGACCTGAAGCCCGGAGTTCTTGTTCCTGGAGCCTGCAGGAGTTCTTCACAACCACGCTTGGGAACCTGAAATTTGGAGTATTCCTTGCTCCAGGGCTGTGGTTCCATAGCAGAGAAGCATTCAATAAATTTTGATCATCATTCCAGAAATAGAGAAAGGAAAAAAAATGTTAACTCCATTAACTCCACCAGGCTCTGCAGGAAAAGGCTGTCCAAAATTCTGATCATTTAATATTCACCTAAATTCTGATGATTTAATATTCACTTAAATTATGACCATTCAGTATTTACCTAAATTCTGACCATTTAATATACACCATTCTGGAAAATGCTGGGATTTATGGTATTTAAATTATGTTTCCCCTTTCCCCTTGCTGTGTGATCTGTACCAGCTGGGAAGAAGGAATCTGCCTCACCAAGCTGCTCTTGTTCTTTTTATTTAGGCTGGAAAATTAGAATAATTTAGGCTGGAAAAAGCCTTTCAATTCTGAGTTCAGCTAAGCCCCTCAGACCCTTCAGGGTGTCCTGACAAACCCAAGGCTCACCAGAGTCACAGGGTGTCCCAGTGATCCCTGTTGCTGCTGCAAAGTCCAAAAATGAGGAATATTTATGAAATAAATAATAAATAAATACTGCAAAGAAATGAACACATACACTGTGCTTATCACATAAAATTAAAAGCTTTTTAGTGTTTAAAATAGCATTTACACATAAGCAGCTATATATTAACTATACAGACACTTGGGTTTTAATACAATATCTACAAAAAAGAATTCAATTATGCAATAGACATTTAACAGGAACAGTGCAGTCCATGCTAATAAAGAGGTCACTCTTTGAGTAGAACCAATTCTAGGATAGGTGATAGTCTGGGTTTTCATTATTTAAAATCATGTAACTTTGTTCCTCTACTGTACATAAAATACTTTACATGTATTTCTAATCACTGATTAGAATTAATAATTTTAAGTCAATCTTATTACAATCCAGTTAAATGCGAAACAAAATAAAAAACCAAAACAATTACATCAACCCATGAGCTGTCAAGTCTTAGGAGAGGAGAGAACAAAAATTATAGCAAAAGTCAACATCTGTGCATCATTGCTTGCCATCCAATAAAACCTTTGGATAAACTGTCCAGGGGACTGTTTCCTTGGAAAAGCAGATTCATTAACAGGAGGTAAAAGACACCAGCATGCTTTTAAGACTATTTGCCAAAGAATATACTCCTCAGAGTTTAAATACTGGGTGAGACATTCCCCCTGCAGATCCTGCCTCTTGCAGGTGGGAGATGTCATCCCAAAGTGTTTCCTCACCCTCGTTCAGGATCCTCCAGACATCCCTGCTGCTGGATCTGAGGCAGGGATGTGTGAGCACTGAGCTCAGCTTCAGAATAAAAATGTCAAATTACTTCAGGCTCCTGTTCTGAGGGCGTTCCCTGCACAGCAAACCTCTCCCTGGAGCCAGAGCACTCTGGGGCCATTAAATCAAAATTAAATGTCAGGCCCTGGTGGGAAAGAAATGATGGGTCTGCAGCACTCCAGCCTCCAAATTTTCTTCCATCTGGCACAATTCCCACAGTGGGCATCTCCACTGGCATCGTTGGCACGTGTTCCTGCAGGGAAAGCCAGGCCCAACAGGAGAGAGCTGCACAGGGAGCTCCCAAGGTTGGAAAGACATAAAGAATGGAAGCCAAGGATGGGATTTGGGAAATCTCCTGCCTTTGTTCCCTTGAGGAAATGGAGATCTGGCAACAATTCAGGCCCGACCTTCCACTGGCTTAGCCCAGCATGTGCACGGTGGGGAAATGCAGGATTTGTCTTACTGTTCAATATTGCACTGTCCAAGAGGGGCACTGCTCCCTCCTGCTCTCTCTGGAAACAGCAGGATCCACCTCTGGAACAACACCCAGAGCATCCTTTACCTGCACTGGAGGAAGCACCTCCAACCGGATTCCCTCAGCAAAGGCTTTCCCACATCTGTTAGGGACTCCCAGCCTCATCCCAGGGTGAGCCACAAGCACACACGTTTAGAACACAGTCATTTTTCAACATAGCAGCAAAGACCAGCAAGACACAGAACAGTTTCTGCCAACAGCAAAACCACAAGACAAAACCAAACCCCCAGCAGATGTGTAAACTGCAACTCTTGGAAAGACACGAGGAAATTACACATGGGTGAAAGCACAGCCCCCAGCTTTAATCCCTTTTTTTGGAAATATTATAAGGAGATTTTTTTTTTTCCTCCAGCCCTCAGAGTTATTACTTAAAACAGGGCCAGAGAAATCATAATTTAAAGAGGCCAGAAAAATCTCAATTAATTTAAAAACAGAACCACTAGTGACTGTCAGTAAAGTCGCAGACTCCTCAGCAGTGTTTCTTGGAGACAGAGCAGAATTCAACCATTATTTTACCCTGTTCATTGCTTTAAGTGTCAATCTTTCAGAATAATTTACCAAGTCAGGTTTGCATCTGGGAGGAGGAAGGAAGGAAAAGTCCTGTTGTACAGTCAAGCTTTAGGCAGGGCCTCTTTTGGAGGAGCCATTCATGGATAGTGATGAAAGCTCTGCTTTCTGAAGCCTTGGGCAGCTTTCTGGGGAGGTTTTTGCAAAGAAAACTAATTTAGAAGCCCAGAAATGGGCCGAGTGACAGAGTTTCCCAAATGCCTGGCTCCCTATGGGAGAAGGAATTTAGTCTCCCATTACCACAAACATCTGGAATCTCTGACAAAGTGAGGTGTTTGCACACAGAGATGGGAAAAAGGAAAGAAGTGAAAAATCTGAATGAAATGGACATTTTGAAGAGTCAATTTTCAGGGTGACAAATGAACTCTGTGTGTATAGAGAGAAAGACGTTCTCTCTTCACATCCACCTTGGCTATTTACCCAAAAAGTACAGAACAGACCAAAAAGAAGCTTCTTACCAGTGAAGAAAATGCTTATTTACAGTAAAGACTGATTTTAAAGCACCTATCCTCAATCCTGCCAGCAGCAGGGATTTCACAAAAGAGGATTTACCTAAGGAATGGCCCTGTGGTCAAATGCCAGAGTGGCTGCAGCTCGTCTCGTTAAATGAGCCACTGTGGCAGAGCATGGCTGTGCTCACCATACCTTAAAAAAGCTTAAATACCACTGAAGCTTCCTGAATTTACTTTCCAGAGCCTCAGAGCAGAAAATAGCCGGAAATTAAATCTTGGGGATATTCAACAGCAGTTGCTTCAGTCAGAGCAACTCAGCAGGAGGAGTCAGGGGTAAGGATTTCTTTTTGAGGAGCTCCAGGGTGGGTCCGACTTGGTGTGAGGGGTAAGGATTTCTTTTTGCACCATTCCTGATCTGTTCTCAGACGTCCTGACACCTCTCTGCCCACTGTGCTCAGAAATGTTCCCTGGGGGATCAGACATCTCCAGGTCTCTGTTTCAACAAAAAAGAGAAAGATTCGGCTCAGAAAGGAAGGAGGGATCACAATGAAGAGCCACGTCCCAGGGGGAGCCAGGATTTCCCAGTGCCTCTGCTGGAATGGGATAAACAGCCCCTTCAAAAGGGAAAAGCTGACAGAACTGCAGCAATTTTCCTATTTCTGTGGGAATAACTCTTCCAACTTGCAAGCAAGTGCACATCCAGAGGGAACAGCCACACCTAGCAGCAGGGATGTGACTAAAATGCCCAGGAACCGAGTGCAGCTGGAAATTCACTCTTGGGAAATAAGGAAATAATTGTTTAAGTTCTGCACAATGAACACATACAGTAGCAAGAATCCAGCACTCCCTTGAGAGAATATCTTGAAAAAAAGCCCCTCAAATAGCCCAAGAAAGATTGACTTATACTCCCTAGACAGCAGGAAGTAGCCACAACTTTGTTCTCCTCTAGGAATTGGTTGGATCCTACTCCTTTCCAAGCACTTGTGGGTGCCATGTCTGCTTAGAGCTATGGATGCATCCAAGAAACAGCATTCCAAGGCAGTATCCCAGATACCAGCCAGCAGTTGCTTTGTCCTTGCAAGAGAAAAAGCAGGAAAAAAATCAAAGTGCTCCTATGCATTGTCAGGAATTTAGAAGTCATGTGAAATACCAGTCCTCTGATCAGCCCAAAAAGAGACACTAATTCCACTGAAGTAGGTGCCACAATGACCAAAGCTCATTAAGATGTGAATATACACCAGCCATTCACAATCCAAAACGAGATGGGGAGGGGAAAAAAACCAAAGATAACGAAAAGATGCTGTTGATTTGCAATTTTTCGATATTTAACAATCCCAGGAGATTTTGTTGTTAATTTCTGTATTTTTTTTTTCTTTTTTCTCTTTTTTTTTTTGTTCAGTTTTGCCCACTTGTTTTCTGCTACACACTTGCGAACAGGAAGGTGTGACATGCAAGACAGCCAAGCCTCTTCCACTGAGCGTCCCACAACGACTCCCCCAAACCCGCCCACCCACAAAAAAAAATCCCACCCTCATGTGCAGAGTCTTTTGAAGGCACTTCCTCTCACATGATGTCCACAAAGAACTCGCAAGGGTTGCCCATGGCCTTCTGGAAGGACTGGCGGCTCCCGGTGAGCTCGGGCGGCACGGCGCTCAGCTCGCGCACCGGGGGCCCTCCGGGCGGGCCGCTGCTGCCCAGCACCTTGGAGCCCAGCTTGGGCAGGCTGTACAAGGGGGGCACCCCTGGGGGCCCATACGAGTGGTGGCTCTGGTGGCTCCTGTCGCTGGCAGAGCCATGGCTGCGCAGGCTGAGCTGGCTCAGCGGCCGCTCCCGGCGCGCTCCGGGCTCCGACTCGCTGCCGCTGCCCCCCGACTTGCGCTCCTTCTCCCTGCCCGCTCCTCTCCTGCTGGTCTCGCTGGTGCTCCGGTTCGAGCCGCTGCTTTTGCTCCCTGCCATGCCAAAAACAGGAGAGAAAAGCAGGATGAGCTGGGCTCTGTTGAGTGTCAGCCCGGCCGTGCTGGTGGTGGCTCGGCAATGAGGGTTGTGCCATGCTTGGGGACACACAGACACACCTCGGAGCTCACACAGTGACAGCAGCAGCTAAATTCCAACTCCTGGCTCAAATCCGGCCTGCCAGGAGCGGGGAGGAGCAGGAAGAAGAGGAAAAAGCAGGAATTTGGGGTCTGACTCAAGCAAATGAGGTTTAATTCTAATTGTCTCTGCTATGGTATTTTGTACATTTTCCTAAACAAACCCCTTTGCCTCCTCTGTCACCCTTAAATCCCCGAGGTTTTGTGGCTTCAGTGGGGAGGTCCTTTTAAAATTCCTCACTAAAGCGTTGTGCTGTTGGAGAATTTGCTAGGAAACAGTTCCTGAACTGCTCTCCCACCAATCAGTAACACCCAGGATATTGTTCCAGGAGAGGTCACTAAATCACCTTGGAAAACCAAACGATTGCCAGTGACTATCAGTTGAGTTGTTATTACAAACAAGCTCCACTAAACTCCAAGAACTGTTTTTTCATGGAAGCTGAATGTCTTACTCTGTTCCCATGAGAGACAGATTAGGAGACAGTTCCAAGCTAATAATTTTTTTTAAATCCAACTAATCAACCCAAGGAATATCCCATTAAATTTATGCGCTTTAGTGCAAGACAGACTTCCCAAAAAGGATCCCCAACCAACAAAACAGGGGACCAGCTTTTGAGTCTAAATGAGCCACAGAAATGAGAAAAACAAAATTATTTCAGGCTGCTCCTTCTTTAGCTACAGATGCCCATTACTTTCTGCTGCTCCAGCTGATTGGAGAGATGGGAAACCAGAATGTTTTTTGGGAGGAAAGGCCACATTCCCTGCAGAGTGTCACAGAGATGGCAAACAGACTACAAAACTACTGGATTTCAAATTAATATTCTATGCCTGGGCCTCTGAAGTGGTATTTGCTGATTGATATGATTTAATACTGCAGATAAATGAGAGAAGGCACAAAACCCCAATTTTAGCACCATTTTAAGAGTGACCAGTGCAGCCTGTGTTCCAGCACTCCCAACACCTGCCTGAGCCACCTGGTCATCAATTAATGGGCAGTGCAAGGGCACTGGCAGAGAAATCCAACCCAGAGGGGTGACACCATAATAAATTTGGACTATTTATTTTCTGGAGAGCCTGGGGATGGGGTTTTCCCACCCAATTCCCTCCCCTCTGAGCTGCTGCAGCACAGTCCCATAAGTTGATATGCCAATGTCACACCACTGTGCACTGAGACAGGTCGAACGTCCAAGACAATTCAAAATAAAAATAAAATTAAAAATAAGAATTTAAAAAAAAAAAAAAAAGTACAGCTAAACATTTGGGTCACAAGAATCTAAAAACAATCATGCTGTGAATTCATCATGGAGGCATTTGAAGCTTACCAATCCCCTAGAGTCAGCCATCCCTCTAGGAATCCTTCAGTCTAACGCTTGCTCAGGACAAAACAAGGGAATAACAGTTACAAAGCAAGAAACAGCACAGAAGTTGTTTTCCACGAGAAAAAGCGTGGAAACCTTTCAGAGCTGAACACTCCCTTTTGGGAGGCTCTCCACAGCATGGATAAAACACCATTCCTTTCCTATTCCAGGGAGAGAATTCCTACTGCTCACAGAAGCAGCTGCCAAAAAACCACCCCCACATTCTGTCCAGGACAATCAGCTTCCAATTCTAAAACCTTTGTGAGATTCCTCATGGATATTTCCTATTTTGGGTTAAGGTGAGAAGCAGCTGGGCCAAAATCCTGTAAGCAAGTTCCTGTTATGAAATCCTTTAAAATCTGACTGGCTGTGGTACACAGGGATAAGTGACATCCAAGTTACTGGATGTTCACTGTAAAAACATAAGGAATCCTCACCCCTTCTTTACTGGCAGCGTTTTCAAAAGCAAAACTCACTCTGGGAGTGATTTACAAAAAAAATAGAAATTTAAAAATAGTATCTGTACAGTCAAAAATCACGTAATTTTCATTTACTAAGATTTAAAAATGAATCACAGCGTTATGCTAGGGCAGAAAAGGAGGAGGACAGGTCTTTAATCCATGCAGCATCTCTTCCTGTCCCTGTCACACATGCCAGCGAAGACTCTCCTCCCTGAGAGAAGTCTTTCAGCCCTGGAAACCCCTGGCTGGCTACCTTCCACTTGCAAAAAAAGTTATTTTCCTTTTGTGCTGAGCACTGAAGCGAAAGCTAAGAGCACCTTGGTACTAATCCCCGTCCCATCAGCACAGAAATTGCCTCATTTCCAGCAACAAAAATGCTCTGCTGTCAATTCCTGACTGGGTTAAGCCTGGCAGTTTCCACAGAGAGCTGAAAGCCAAACCCACTCCTCTGGAGACACAAACACCTTTGATTCAGTGCTGTTGCACACAATCCATGCAGGGAGCAACCAAAACCATGAGACAAGCACGGATAGCATGAAGGAACTCAAGCAAATGGTGGGGGGCAATGAGAGCTGTGGAATTCAAACCAAATTATCCCATCTTACCTTCACTCTGCTGGCTGCCTGCACTGCCACTGCCATAGCTAAAGCCTGGGTCTTGGTAGGCTGGTGGGAAACAAGGAGGGGGCAGAGGATACTGGTAGGGATATCCTTGGCCTAAGGGCCAGGGAGCAGCGGGATGTGGGAGTGGAGCCAGGGTGTCCTGATCTGAGGCGCCGCTGGAACCGTTGTTGAGGTTCAGTGCAGCTAGATCTGGGAAAGAAAAAAGGTGAAAACTTTTACCCAGCAGGTAAAATGATCACTGTGATCAATTTGTGGAGGTATCTGAAGCTTAGAAACACCCTGGAATCAGCCTTCTCACCCAGCAGTGAGTGAGATGTGAAAACAGGTTGAAAAAAGGGTGAGGACATTCCCCTTTTCCAGGCTGGGAACTGAGTGGGACTGACAAGCAGGGAATGAAATAAATCCTGCTGTCCTCTGTGCTCTACTTGATGGGTTCATCCTCCTCCAAGTGCTCTCCTTGCCTGGGCTACCAAGGAGCATCAGCCACTTTTCAATGTCTGGGTAATGAAGGGTTCCCCTGTTCTGGGACACACCCTGTGAAACCCCAGGAGAGCTGGGATCAGAAGGGACATCTGGAGACGCCCCTGTCTAACCTCTTTGTCCAACCCTGGAGCAGGTGACACAGGAACGTGTCCAGCAGGGTTTAGAATATCATCCGCTGCCTGCTCCAGAGCTCTGCCACCCTCATGGAAATGCCTCCTCATGAAATTTTTCATGGTAAGGACACAGGAGGTGACTCTCTGAGCACCCTCAAGGCACAGAAGTGACACAGGGACAACTCTGCCCCTCCCAGCTGGGGACTTACTGCCACAGAGGTCTCCGAAGACATAGTAGCACTGCTCTGAGAAGGTGATTTTGTTCACAGTGTGCCTGAGGTAGCCGTGTTTCAACATGCTGCTGGCATATTTCCTGGCCTCCCGGCGGTCCTTGAAGCCTTCCACATGTGTGTAAAGCCAGTCCACCACATCTGCTCCTGAAATGGGGACAGCAAGAGGAGACACAGGATTATGTGAGCCAAATTGTGCCAAGTGAACACCTACAATGGGATCATCTGACCCAAACTGTGCCATTTGAACACCTACAATGGGATTATCTGAGCCAAACTGTGCCAACTGAACACCTACATGAGCATTGACACTAACCACACACACAAAAAATCATATTTACACACACTGTGCAACGCTTTTAAGCTGCAGGACTGAAAAATATTTTTTTCTCTGGATTTCACCAGATTTCACCAGAGAAGGTGACTCTTGCTCAAGAAGCAGATATTACGTTGCCAAAATACCTGTGTTCCAACCCCTTCCTCAGCAAAAAGCAATTACAGCCTGGACTGGCTAAATATTAGCACAGCTCAGGTCACAGGCAGACTGGCTGTGGTGATTTTAAATCTAAAGAGCTTTATTAAGGTTGTCCAGTTGAATTCCAGTTGCTCTGCTGAACTTGGGCAGATCTCTAGAGCCACCTGAAAACCTGAGATATAAAAACAAAGAAGAACCAGTTCTGTGTGGGCATGAGAAATGTGCAGCTATTTTGGATACCCAAGCTCAAACAAGAGTCACATGGTGATTTTTAACCACATCCTGTCCCGAATTTCAAGGCCTGAGTCTGGCAGCTGCATGACCTTGACAATAGTAGCCATGTCACTCTTCACAGTTAAGGGAGATTCTTCTAATTCTAAAAGGAAGAGAGGCCACAGGCTGCTTTGAAATGAACTGAGGCTGGAGGAACTTCTCAGCTCCCAATTTGGATGAGACAAAAATACAGTTTTATCAACAGATGCAAAAAAAAAAATAAAAGAAAAGACACAAAGGTTCCCAAATGCATCCTCATCCATGGAGTGAATTACAGCATTTGTAGCAATTCTTCAGATTTTGGGCTCAGTGCCACCAGTTTAGTGACAGAAATGCTGAGTCCCCATGTCCGGCTTCCCAGAGCACCTACAAGACCCACTCTGCATCAAAACTGGCAGGAAAGGAAATCCAAGAGTTTTTGTGATCCATCATTTCCCATTTCAATGTCCCAGGAACACCCCCTTCCACCCAAGGGATCAGCACACTGCATGGAGAACTCTGTGGGACAAGCTTTTGGGGTTTATTCTTTTGGTTTGAGGTTCATTGTCAGGATTAACACCCATCTCCATGGAGAAAGAGGATGACCATGGCTCAATCCATGTCCAGTTTTTATTTAAAGGTCTGGACATTCTTGTGGAGAACTGAATTTATAAAACAAATCTTCCTTCATCAGAAGAAATCAGTGATTTCCTTATAAAAACCCTTCCCAGAGTCCCAGAGATGGCAGCCTCACAATCCACTCCTCCCAGGATTACTCTGCCCTCCATCTTTCTTGTGGAACACTTTAAATAAAGCTCCCAAACGCCTCCACAGCCATTCCCAGTTCACACCATTACGGCAGAAGTGGATCCCCAGAGGTTTCACACTTTCCTGATCAATTTTTACAATAAAATCAGAACAGGGTTGAGGTTGCTCTTGTCAAATTCCCCTTCCTGTCCCATCTTCCAGCCCTAGAAAATCCATTTTTATCTGTGTTTGTAGCCCAAGTCCTTCTTCAGCAGGAATTCCAAAACCCTCTTCCCCTCTCAGTTCCCCACATCACCCACCTTTTAAAAGCATAACGGAAACACTTATGTCCTTTTCCAGCCACCCAAGATTTTGGATCAAAAAAAGGTATAGCAAGCGTCAAACAATGAAAACTGAAAATGCTTCTTTCCTTACATGCACTGCCAATATGCATGAAAACATCCCAGACCAGCTCTGCATGCAGCTTCAATACTTACAAACCTCAATTAAACACTAAAACTTTGCTTTTGCTTTAAGTTAGTTTGGTTAGTGGCAAAAAGCAACATGTCTGGGGAAAAAAAATACACCAACAAACTAATATTCAAGTACATGGGGAGCAATGAATTGTGTTTTCTTGGAGATCTGAGATCTGCATATGAACAGAAAATCAGTATTTTCTGAGTTCTGGTTGCATGTACAAATATGGCAAATTCAGAGATGCATCTGAAATGCTCCCATTTTGGTCTGAATTCAGCTGTGGAAAATTCACCCAACCCAGCTCAGGGTAGGTAACAGGGCTGAGCTGAAGGAAGAGCTCACAATAAAAATCAGGGGTACCCTTTATTCTCTTGCATTACAGAAAGGAAATATTTTAAGTCACTGGCACAGAAATGAGAAGCTGTCTCCAGAAATGTGGTTCTGCTCCCAAATACCTTTATTTTCAAAGTATGACTGAGAGGGTGCCTGTTCCCCACTTCCCAATCCCAGCACTATAATCAAGGCACAGGATACATCAATTGTTCAAGAGGAATGATGAGTACAGACTTTTTTGACAGCAATCAGCAGAGACACTGGATTCCAGCAGTACCTGTAAGGCTCAAAATACATATTTGGATAAAGCAGCCAGCAGGAAAGGGGTTATTTGCTTCCTGCTGCAGACTATGTCACTTCAGCGGTGCTGCCTGATCTCTAAAAACACCTACAAAAAAGACCCCCATGGCCTTTCCCTCCAAGGTGAGGTGGAATTCCAGCTTATAAAATCTGAAGTACTTTATAATCAATACCCCACAGGTCTTTCCTCAGAGTGTCATTCTGAGTTAAATAAAAGGAAGAGTTAATATTCCTTAAAGAAATTTTCTAAGATAAGGAGTTGGAGCATAATGTTAATAACACCAAGGCTGTGTGTCTGATCCCTGTCTGGGCCATTCACTTGAGATTTGGACTCACTGATCCATGTGGGTCCCTTCCAACTAAAAAGATTGTGTGATTAGAGTGCTCTGAGAGGCTTCTGAATTAAAGAAGCCTCTCTAAATCATGGCAACATCCTGGTTTAATGGATATGACTATTTTAGACTACCACAAACTGACAAACCAGGAAGAAGGCTCAACTCCAACCATAATTTCATGTGGGATGTTAAACTTAGTTTTAGCTTGTTTGATAAATTCTAAAAATATAAAAAGACCATAAAAAACGGTAAAAAAGTATAAAAGAAGGCCACGTGAGTATCAGGGAAGGATTTCCCAAATGAAACACTAACATTATTATAGAAATTTATTAAAAACCAATCAAATGCAAGAAGGGAGCTCTCCCATCCACCTGAGAGGATAAACCTGAACTTATTTTTAAAATCCACCAGCAACCACTTCTCCCTGAGACAGAACCCTGACCAAACACCTCTAGATCAACCTTTGCCAAAAGCTTTTCCTGCTTTCCCCAAGTGCGAGAAACCGTTCAAGGCCTGGCTGGCGCTGCCGCTGTCACCGTGCCTGTGGCCGGGCCCTGCAGGCCCTGAGCAGCCCCCTGCCCTGGGCTGGCCAGGGGGTGACTTACTTTCCGACTCGGGAATTGAGCTTGTTAGTGAGGAGCTGGTAGATGTGGTGATGCTCATGGAGGGGCTCATACCGTAACGGGGGTACGCTCCCGTCATGGCTGTGGTATGAGAGATCCACGCCGCGGGGTCGATCGGCCGCACCGGCTCAGCTGTGAGCAAAAGGGACAGAAAATGGGGTCAGACTTGCAGCAAACACCAAGATTTTGAGAGATCTGAGGGGTTTTCTCTTGTTTTCTTGTTGTTTCTCTGGTTTTCTGAGGGTTTCATGAGTGAGATCCCACAGACTGTTACCACCACAAATGGACAGTAAAACAGAGTCAGAGTTACAGCAAATACCAAGATTTTCAAAGATCCGAGGGGTTTTCTTCTGGTTATACTGATTTTAATAAGGGTTTCACAGGAGTGAGATCCCATAGTCTGCCCCACCACAGAAGAACAGCAAAATGAGGTCAGAGCTGCAGCAAACACCAAGATTTGGAGTGGTCTGAGAAGTTTTCTTTTGGTTATACTGGTTTCAATAAGGGTTTCAAGGGGGTGAGGTCCTGTAATCTGCACCACCACAAAGGGACAGCAAAACAGGGCCAGACTTGCAGCAATCACCAAGATTTTGAAAGATCTGAGAGGTTTTCTCTTGTTCTCTTCTTGTTTCTCTGGTTTTCCTAAGGGTTTTTTTAGAGGAGTGAGGTCCCGTAGTCTGCACCACCACAACGGGATAGAAAACAGGGTCAGACTTGCAGACAACATCAAGATTTTGAGTGGTCTGAGGAGTTTTCTTTTGGTTATACTGGTTTTAATAAGGGTTTCATAGGAGTGAGGTCCTGTAGTCTGCACTGGACAAAAGGCACAAAAAATGGAGTCAGACTTGCAGTAAATATCAAAATTTTGAAACATCTGAGGAGTTTTCTCTTGTTCTCTTGTTGTTTCTCTGGTTTTCCTATGGGTTTCAAGGGAGCTGCCACTGTCTGCACCAGTACTGTATTTATTCCATCCTCATCTGCAATGCCACTCTCATCTCCTGTGAACTGGGAACAAACTGGTTCCACCACAGCCCTCACCAGCAGGAGGCAGCTGTGTTTGTCACATGAGCACAAATCTTTTACAGCTACTGTAAACAAGGTAATTTTCAAGGTGTTTTATGTGTATCACTTCCGCTTCCCTCACATCTTCAAAGCACTCAGTTTAAGTTCTCTCTAAAAGTTAACTGTGAGAAAATGAGGATTTTTAACACTTAGCGTAATTATTTCCAAACCTTTTATGAACTGAAAGGTTAAGATCACCTCCCAAAAGGTTAGTGGCTTGATCCAATATGTGAACCAAGAGAAAAACACACAGGAATTCAATGGGCAGTGGAATCTCAGAAAAAAGTATCTTGAACCCCAGGCTCCCAATACATAAGTAAACAAATAAAAGAACTGAACGGTAGAATCTGTTAGATGCCAAAATAGGTGAAAATATACCAGACCTTGGGGGCTTCCCAGGAACCCAGCAAAGAGCCCAAATGTGTACTCACCCCTGGGGATGGTGAAATAACTCCTGGGAGTAGGGTCCCAGCATTTGGCTACTGTTAGGCTGATAGGTCTAGGAAGAAAGAAAACAGGTAAGGATGACTCTTAACTTTCCTACAGAGTTGGAAATGCTACAAGAACTATTTGAAACAAATTTCTTCCCATCCAGCAGTTGTTAAGTACATTCTGAGAATAGTTTTGAGAAGCTTTATAATATTTTCAGTATGAAGCACATCAGGATGTTCCTTCTATTGCACAGATGATGAGCACTGGTGGTAAAATCTGTTGGATCATCAGCTCTTGAGATATGAAAATGCTAATCACATAAACAAACAGTGCTGCTGAAACCAGGCAACTTCTCATTCATGTTGGTTTTGGCCAGAACCAACCTCACCTATTCATCATTTACACTGAGAAGTTCACAGATGAGATTAGTCATGCTGATGGATATCAAGATGTTGATTTCTGTGAGGTTTTCCCAGCTTCTGGAACTGCACATGGAGGATAAATAGGAAGAGGTTTTGTGATGTGCTCACCCTGGTTTAGAGACTATTTCCCGTAAAACCCGAACGGCATCATCATTGCTCATGTTCTCAAAATTGACATCATTCACCTGAAACAGTGCAGAAAGCAGAGGTCAGGCTTTGCAGCAGGAAAATTAAAGGTGTTTTAATTACTTAATTAAATCCCCCAACTTATCTGCCTGGTCACTGCTTCCATTCCTTTGAAATGTCGTTTCTTAGAGTGTCTCACAAAGAATCACCGATTTCAGTGATCTTTTTGCCACATTTCTCTGAGGATGAGTAAATTCTGTTCCCTGGTTACTACAGCCCGTGGGGCTGGTGGGATGGCTGAGCACAGCAGCAGGATTTGGGGACAAGGACCCACCTGCAGCAGCATGTCCCCTGGCTCAATGCGCCCGTCCGCTGCCACCGCCCCTCCTTTCATGATGGAGCCGATGTAGATGCCACCATCACCCCGGTCATTGCTCTGTCCCACAATGCTGATTCCCAGGAAGTTGTACTTTTCTAGATGGACACAAAGTGGAGGGTTGGGAAGAGGGAAAAAAGCAAAGTGATTGGAATGATAGCAAAAAGTGAGGCTGCTTCAGCTTTGAAACATCTCAACTCATCAGCAGGGCAAGGTTTGACTTGCAATGATCTCAGGCTGCTCTAATGGTAAATATTTGCCTGGCACCTTCAGGGAAAGGCTGCTGAAGACAGGATTTTTTCATCTAAGATAGTGTTACATTAAAAAAAACCAGCACGGGGAAGAGCACTGAAAAGGCTTGTCCACACCTGGAAATTAGAACTGCTCACATTGAGCAATGTTTGTTCCACATGTCAGAGAGGCAGGAAGGGTTTGGTGCTGCTGAAAGGTGCTGAATTCGTTGGCAGCCTGGTACATTTCTGTCTGACTGACAAAAGGAACACATGAGCAGCAGAAATGCAAACCTCCGATGCCCTTCTACACTAATCCCTCACCATTAACTCCACATCCTGGAGTTCCAGCTCCTTCCCTGGATGGAACACTGATCTACTGGTGAAAATGGACCTGTTCTGGATTAGGAATCCAGTCAACACAGCAACAACTCTCAGCTGCCATTCCCTTTATTCACCTGGCATCCTTTCAAACCAAGGAACTCCCTCCTGGCTCCAAAGGCTCCCTCATCATCACAAAATACATCTCTACCACTTGAAATTCATCATAAAAAACGTGGCTTGTCCTCTTACCCATGTTGAGTGTGACAGTGATGATATTTAAGGACATGGTGGAGTCAGTGATGCTGCTGAACGAAGATGACTGCAAAACACAACAGAAAAGTCTCAAGGTTTTAAATGGCTCAGAGTAAGAACTGTTGAGGATTAACTCATCAGGAATTGTTTAACAGGTCTCCAATTGAAAGGCATCCAGAAATTATTCAGGCTTCCTCAAAATTATGCTTCATTTAGAAACTTTAAGGAAAGAAATCTGAGCAGAGTCTGCACTTTCTCCAAAGGCTTGCTCACAAAACCCACAGAGCATGTTCTTATTTTGAGGTTTCTCAATTGCACTTCCCCTGGAGTTATTTCTGCTTCCTGGCTGTGACTGACAGGCAAACATTTAGATCCTGAAGTGCCCAGTGGAGTGTGAATTACACCCACAGCTCCTCCCTAAAGGGAGGAGTGAACAGCACTTCCAGCAGGAAGTGAGAAGAGAGACGCTCCCCTGCCTCTGAAATTAAATGCAAAGGTGCTTATCAAAGATCTTCTAAAACACTATCCTGTGATAAAATGTGTGTGAGGTCATTCTTTAATGTGTGAAGACTGGGAGAAGAAAACAGGAACTTCAGGAGTCTGTCCGTGGGGTCACCTTCATCCTGCTGCCAAGAACTAGCACAGGACAGGGCAAAGGAAAAGATCTGGGATTTCCTATAAACTTGGATTTCTCCTTCCAGCAGAATGCAGGTCTCAGGACATCTCACACCCCTTCCCACATCATAATGGTCTTGGAAAAGACAGATTGGTCTTGGAAAAGACAAGAAATGGGATCACTGAACAGTGAAAGGAGAAAGGGAGAGGTGAAAACTTAACTTTGGAGCTGCAGAATCCGAATGTAGAGATTTAGCCCAGACTGGAGCCACATGGAGCCTTCCTAGTGAACTCAACAGGCACAGACCTATCCTGGATCCCTTCCTAAGTCAACAGCTCCACTCAAAAACCATGGTTCACCTCCTTGGATAAGGCTGGTGCCAAGCTTACCCTGTCAATCTGCCGCATCCTCTGTTTCCTCCTCCGGCGTTTGTGCTTCCGGATGAGCCGGGATGAGGTGCTCTGCTCCGTGGAGCTGCTCAACCTGAGGGGAAAGCAGAGCAGATGTCATTCCTGCCAGGCTCAGCCACCTGCATTTTCTGCCAGAAAGAGCTGATTCCTGCAGCAGCAGGAGAGCGGAAATCAGACAGCTTAGGAGAAGATTCCAGCTAAACAACAGCAGGGATCAGATGAATAATTTAATGTTACAGGGTATAATTTTGCACTTGTTTTCTTCTGGGACCAGGTCTGAGTGCAACCCTTAATGCTCATTTTTGTGAGTGGTGCTGTATTTTCTTCCACTGTTACCAGGAATTCAAGGCTTGAAATTAAAAAAATCAAATAGAAATTGGTAACAGGAGGACAGTGAATATGATTTACCTTCATACATTCTGTTAAGTTTTATTTTGCTGTGGGTTTTTTCCAGGCTCTTCAAACTTGTAGAGCCTAAATGTGCCCCATTTTACATATAAATCTTTGAGGTCTTTAAGAGTTTAGAGAATTAATCATCCTCACTTTACAGAGAATAGAATGAGACAGAAATGGATTTGCCCAAATTAATTTCAGGAGCCTGGAACACAGCCTAGATTATTAAGATACCTCTATAACACCAGAGAGACATCTCTCCTCTATTTAATATGTTAAGAATGGCAAAAAAAATTGAAGATAAAGCAATGCTCCATCATTAACCAAGATTAAAAAATCCAACCTTATACAACACAAAACAAACAGTGCCAAGCTTTTCCTCCATTTTCCACATCCCTGCCTTCCATGTTCCAGCCACATACAGGAATGTGAGAATACCTCAAAAACTTGATGCCAGCAATTCCAAAAAGGAGCTCAGTGTCCTGAGAGCACAAGAAACCCCTCTGGCCAGAAATATTTTTATCAGGTATCATCCCTGGAGATGCTGGAGCTGCTCAGAGGGTGTGAATCTCCTGACATTCCCTTGGAGTTCACACAACTATTTCAAGTATGTTAACCTCACACACTCCTTTTTCCCCTCCCAGCAAGGGGAACTGAAGAGCCAAGAGGTGGCATTTTTCAAATATAGTAATTTCAAATATAATAATTCCTGGTTGGTAAAACAGCTCACACAGCACCTGGGGTTGGGAGGTTTTACCTTCCAAGAGGAAAAATAAGGAGGTGTCAAACGCAGGGCTCCCAAAACTGGGAATGTTCAACATCCACCAAAGACTGACACAAAAAACCTCCTCTTATATCTTGCTGTCAGTATTCTCCCCCTTCCTGCTTCCTCTCCCATTTCCTTTTCTTCCTCTTCCCTTCCAGAACATCTCACCAGAGGACTCAGCTAAAACTTCCCAGTTCAGGAGAATCTGAGGAAAGCCAAGGCACGTCGCTCACTCCACAGTGAAGCTGCCTGCTCTCTAAAAGGACATTTTTCTCTCAAATTAAACCATCAAAACCAGAGTTCCTAGGAAAATCTCTGAGTTTCTGTTAGCAGGTGATAACATGTGAGAAGTGAAGGTGTTCTTTGTTGTATTTTAGCTATTCTGCTCAGTGTTAGGATGGAAGGATGAGAACCAGCTGCTTAGAAAACCCCCAGTTCAGGTTTAGTTCAAGGGGACACAAAACATTTCAGGGAAAAATTGGAGCTAAAACAGCCTCTCACATCAGATGCACAAAACTGATGATCAGAAGGCTCTGCAGGAACATTTTTACACCTATTTTCACATAGCTGTGGCACATTTCATCACCTCTCCCTGTCATTTCTGCTCAATCCACAGCCTTAATGCATCCTTGCTGAATCCTTAATGTTCTGGGAGCATCTGGATGCTAAAAAGCAGCTCAAACCTATTGTAATGAGGAATATTTTGCTCTCTGAAGCATCTCCAGAAATGCTGGGTAGAAGTTGTTATTATTACAATCTGATGAGCAAGACAAGATGGTAAATTTGAGCTTTTGAGATAAAGTGCAAAGATGAAAAACAAATCTGGAATTAACACTACCAATTAATTTCCTGCATCAGCTACTGCCCAAAACCCTGACTGCACTTCTGACACAAAGGTCACAGAAGAGATTTTTAAAAATATAATAATAGTAATAATTTTTTCACCATTTCACAATACCAAAAGGATGGGGGGAAAAGGCAACATTTGTTAAAGAAAGCTTATCCACGTGGTTTAAAAATAAATTATGGTAATTTCTTAAATGAGAAATAAACAATTTTTTTGCAGTGAATTCTTTTAGTTGCACTGAACTGAGAGCAGCAATTGCTGACAACAATCCTACAGCAACCGATGTCAAATTTGTTAGACCTTTACTTTAGAGAAGACAGAAAAAAGGCTTTTCCTGGAAAGTTCCCTACATCAACCTGTGTTCAAAATCCTACCTGCAAACAACACAAACATGCAATTATATCACACTTTGAAAAAAAAAAAAGAAATAAATTATGGTGCTCCCACTGTCACTCTGCACTGTCCTGGAACATCTGTGAACAGGTTAATTCACCAAAACACAACATCATTCTATAACTGAATGCAACAGATCTTCCTTGGGCTGGGAATTACCCAGCTCTGCTCCACTGCTCTGAGTTTAAATCAAACAAAGCCAAAGACACACAGTCAAAAGAGCATCCTCAGCCTCACAGCCTCCTCTCTTCCAGGACAGCAACATCCTTTCCATCTGATTTCCTCCCTTACAAAGCATCCAGAAGCCAGCAGCTATCAGGAACCAAACTCACCCCTCAGACCCCTCTGTCCCCAGGCTGGTGCCTCCAGCAGCTCTGGAACCTTCTCCATTTGCTCTTTGCCTGATTTGCCTCTACAAAAGAAGAAAACTTCTCCCTGCCAGCACAATCTCTCCCGTGCCTGAGAAGATCATCCCTGGAACACAACAGCATACCTTGGAGCATTCCTTTGAGTGGTTCTTCCTGACTAGCTGGCCTGGCAGCTCTTCCCTGTGCCAAAAGCTCCTGCCCCAGCCTCCGGAGGGAAAGGCAGGAGCAGCAGCTTCGAAGAATCTCTTTCTTCTCAGGTCAGACTCAGGAAGTTTTATTATTTTATCCATACAGAAAGATTTCCCTGGGTCTGCTCTAATGTGCCCCAGTGGCCACCCTGAGCTAATCCTGCCCCACTGCATCACTTGCTGCCATGCAAATGATTCATTTATTTACAAGAAACCCAAATCAGCTGCAGGGTTGTTGTTGTGGGCTCGAGTTTTTAGGGGAGGCTTTGGGAAAGCTCAGGGTGCATTCAGGGTTAAGGACAGATCTTGCCAGCTCTCCATGCACATAAATATCCAGGTGAAGCACATCCAGAAAAGTGAATTTTTGTATGCCCAGCTGTTGTCAACTTCATCATGGAATGGTTTGGGCTGGAAAGGACCTTAAACTCATCTCATTCCAACCCCTGCCATATGCAGGGATACCCTGCACTTCACTGGGACTGCAAAGGAAGTTCCTGAAACTAATTCAGGACTAAATCTCCAACGTGCATTTAGTTATCCTTTCACCCCTTTGGAAACAATCAGCCTTTAATCACAGTTGTGAGGTCTTTAAGCCCTGACTGACAAGACCCAACAGATCCACCAAGATCCATGAGCTGATCATGTCTGTAAACACTGCAAGGGGTTCAGGATCTCCAGTAGTTGCTCTTTGCTGTTTTTATTAAAAATGCCATGTTCTGCCTTATTTGTTTTAGCTGCAGATGCCTGTGACCATCCAGAGATCTGTCACCCTGTTGTTCTCTGACAAATCCATAATGGATTCTCAGAGCCCATTGGGATGAACAACGGCTCTAGAGGCAGTGGTCAGAAAAAGGAAGAAAAATAATTTTGATCGGTTTTAAATCCACAAAAATAAGACTATGAAATGTATTGGCTTAAAGACTTCTAAAAGAAAAACAAAACTATCTTTAGATATAACAAAAGATACCTTGAAATTAGAGGTATCATAGGTAGGGAATAATTCACACACTCTGCCTGCACAAGAAGAAAGAAATAATGAAGAATCCATAAATATATGGCAGCCCAGGCTGCCTTTGCAACAGCATTAACTTTGATGAATTCCTGAACTGCTCATAGGTCTCAGACTCTGCAATTACCCAGGAATTCCTTTATAATTGAGCTCCAGTGAAGTGCACACTTATTAGGAATCTCTGCTGACAGTATTTTGTTTTAATATTCACACCATTTCTTTATAAATAGGTAGGCAGTTGCACAGTGCTTTGATCTTGAAATGTGGCCATTCTTGCTATGAAAAGGAGAGGAACAGAGCTTTTCTTTCAACTGGAACAGTGGTTTGGACAGCCTGGACAGTGACCCAATAACTGAGGAGTGATTCTACACAATGATGTCACTGATGAACAACCAGTGCTCAAATCACAAAAGCAATGAAAGGAAAATTAAAAAAAAAAAAGGGGGGGGGAGGGGGGCAGGGGGAAGAAAAGAAGAGGAGATGAAACCAGAAGAGCCCAAGAAGGTGCCAGGAGGCTCTCCCAGTTCTGGCCCCTGGCAGGGCTGTACCTGCTGGTGTTGTCATCGTCCTCAGAGTCAATGAAGCTGCTGGACTCTAGCTCACTGCTCATCATGGTGGAGGAGCTGTCGTAGCCAGGGGGTTGCTCACGGTGCCTGTCCAGCTTGGGGTGCCCATTGATCCTGGGGACTGGAAAAGCACAATAAAGGGAGTGTTACAGTACAGGGGAGGAGCAGGGGAGTTATGGCAGGGGGAGCAGCAGGACAATCACACTGACAGCTCTGCAGGAGGAGCTTCCTCCCAAAACCAAGCTCCTTGCAAGACCTGATTCCTCTCCACAGCTGGGAAACCTGCCCTGCCTTTCCCTCACTTTTCCACCTGCCCATGGCTCAGTTTCTGGGCCAGCCATTAACAGTGTCAGGCATGGAAAAGCACCATGAAGGTACCAGACAGCAACAAGAAGCTGTGTCAACGAGAAGGGACAAACAAAAGCAGTTTGAGTTTGGCATGAACAGTCCCAGCAGCACAGAAATCTTGGAAACAACATTCCTGGATGAATTTTATTAATATCTTACCCATAAAACCACTTTTACCTGTACCTGTGCTACACATTCCTGTCCCTCGTGTGGGCAGTACAGGACATCAAACACTGCCTGGACTATTCAGGTGTTTCAGAACAAATCTTCACTAATCCCTGGCTGTGTGAATACTGTCAGATACAAACATTCCCACGGATAATCCCCTCCCAAAAATGCCATTTACTTGAAGGCTGCAGTGACTCATCTTTTTCTAGAGATATTTTAGGCATTTTGCTCAGCACAGCAAACTCCTCCTGCACATTTCATTAGAATATCCTTAATTTCTAAGTGCTCTCTTTTACCAGGAATGCTTCTTTCCCTAAAACAAGAAGGGCTGAGCTTAATAAGACACCTGGTAAAGAAATCAACATAAAAGACTTCACAGATAGCCTGAGATTTTAATCCAACTTCTCCAAACACACAACTCCAAAGTTTAAGGGATTTTCCCTTCAATTACAGAATAGAAAACCTGCTTAGAGGAGGAAGGCCTGCCGTAGGAATTATGCCTGATGCATATTGAGAGTTAATTATTGAAGTAACATGGTTTGCTTTTCAAGTGAAGTATCAGAGAAAGTTTGCCAAAGTAATGCTCAGTGTTTATTAAAGATTTCCAGCACCAGGAGAACAATCAGGAACAGAGGAAGCCAAGGCATGGAATAAATCTGGTTTATACCTCCCAAGCAGCACCAGGTAGCCTTGAGCTCACAAGAAAGGTTTCCTGTGTAATTAAGGTGAGCATTTAAATCCATAAAGTTTTTTTTGCAATTTCCCTGCAGAAGTGAAATGCCTTTTTCCAAGCTTTTCTAATGTTAGCCAGCATTGTTTGGGGGTAATTAACCATTAAAATTCAGTGCTTTCACAAACCATTATTATAAGGGGTTTATTCATAAAATATTCCCATGTAGCTTTCCAAAGCAATAAGGACTTTTGTTGCTTGAAGAGAGAAAAGGGGAGCTCTGATACCCTGATTTTTATTTTTTCCCTGATCAGTTTTCCTTAGGAGTTTCTTAGTGTTTGTATCTGCAGCATCACACACCTCCAAATAAAGTTTTATTATGTTCCTCAAGCCACCACATTCTCTTTGTGGGGATTATTTTGAAATCAGGGAATATACAAGTTTAAGTCTAAAGAAGAATCAATCATTCCCTGCTCTGGTTCAGTGCCTGTCCCACTAATGACCAGGGACTTTCTGCCCTACTGACCCCCTGCCCTGCCCCTTCATTAGAGGACGGCAGGTTCACCAGGCCAATGTGACAAAAGCCTTTCAGTGCCTCAAAGAGCTGAGAACAAAGCATAGCCTGGGAGGGTAAAACATCTCCTCCTTGACTTTTATCAACAGCAGAGCAGGCCCTGCCTGAGGGACAAGAGCACATCAAAGGCCAAATCAAGCAAGGCCTGCAAGCAGAAAGGTAAAAGCAGCATCTGCTCAGGGGAGCTGTGGAGAAGGTTCTGTGCCACTGCAGAGAACAAGGGTGAGGGCAGCTCAGAGAGAAGGCACAAGCTCCCAGCTAGGAGGGAAAACAACAACCCTCCCAACCCCTTCCAAAGGTCCTTCCCATTTATTAACAGGAAATGTGTTACCAATCCTCAGTAAAGAGACTTAGTACCCTGCTGGTTGCAGGGCTCAGTCCCTGCTACTTAAATAGGGAAAGACACTGGGATTGTCCTCTCCTGCCTTACGGGCACATCCCTGTACTCTGACTTGCCTTGGGAGTGAAGTTCTTTGGAACCTGTAACAGCCTCCAATCCCTCCACCCCAGACAGGCTCAGCATTCCCATCCCAGATGCTTTCCAGTTCCAGCCCTCCTGCAGATTCCTTGGCACACAGGATGGTAAAAAATCCACATACTACAGCAGCAAGGGAAAATCTGCAACAGCTCCTCTTCCCAAACATTTGGGATCTGTGAGCCTGCCCACATGAAGAGTTCCTCCAGACATAGGCATTTCTCAGCAGGCTGCACAAGAGTTAAATTCGCCCCACAGCAAACTGGGTGTTGAAACCCCAGTGTCGACACTTGACATCTGCAGACTTGTCAAAAACCAAGCAGCGGCCATAAAACATTTCTCAACATCCCAAAAAAAACCCCCAAAAAAGCCCTTGTCCCTTAATTACCTCCCTAATTAGAGCTTCCACAGTCCCCTTTCCCACTCCTCCTCAGCAAACTGACACAGGAGCTTCGTTCCTCCCAGCCAGGGGTCCCCACAACATGTGCCAGGCAGACCTCCCACGACCCTAATTAAGATCCTCACTCTACTTTCACTTAATAGGACATTGTCAGCTTCCCAAAGCAACTTGGGAAGTGTGGCTTGTGGCTTGAAGAGAGAAAAGGGCAAGCTCTGACATCTTGATTTTTTTTTTTTTTCAGATCTATTTTCCTTGGGATTTTCTTGGTGTTTGTATCTGCAGTGTCACACAGCTACAAAAAAAAGTTTTATTGTGTTCCTGAAGCCACCAGGTTCTCTTTGTGGGGATTATTTTGAAATCAGAGAATATACAAGCACATATGGAGATTCATTGTCTGTGCACTTAGAATAGGAATACAATTTAAGGGAAACGGGTAGAAGAGCTTAGGGATACCCAGAATTCTTCTGCATTTTCAATGGGAAGAGGTGTGAAAACACTGTCAGATCACCCAGGTGTGCCCCATGCCTTCCAGCTGCAGTTGGAATCAATATTTATCACAGCCTATGTGTGCAGAATTGCCCAGTAGCAATTCAGCAGAAACAGCTTTTGTGGGGTGAGTAATCCTGCAGCAATGAAGGAAAATTTCCAGGCTGCTGTGGTGAACAACCCACCCATGGTACCACACTTAATTATTACCCACAGCAGAACCTGGGGAATTCACCATCAGCCTGACTCCAAATCAAACCTCTGGAAGGATCTTGTTGCAGTTCAAGCCCAGGCTGAAAGCTGGCAACATTTTTCAGTAAAACAAGAAGCTATTTTTGTAAATTAAAATGGAGGGTAGCAAAGAAAATCTTTGTTCAGTGTCCCTTTTCTTCCCTGGGATTTTCCCAATCTTCTTTCTGTGGAACCTCTCAATGCACTGGGCTCAGTGGACTCAGCCTGTTTGACCCACTCAGGTTTTAACTTGGTGTTTCTCTGTTCCCAAATAGCTCCTTCATACCTTTCCTCACTTCACCTGTTTGAAATGAAGGCTGGAACACCCTGCTCCTGTTTTCTTGTGGAACAAGAACTCCTTTTCCCTTGAGGGAATCCAGGGAAATCCTCTTTGCCAGGGTGGGTGGTTCTTTGTACCCAACAGTTACAAAGGCAGGTAATTGTCCAGCTGGGTGAGCTGTTCCTGTGCCTCTGGAATAAAAACTCTGTGAGTAACAGAGAGCTCCAGAAGATCCCTCATCCTGCCCCTCTGCCAAGCACCAGGGCTATAATTTGGGCATTATTTGAACGAGTCTCTGCAGGAGCACATCAAACACTTTTACTGCATTTCCTGCTTTCTGCAGGGAAAGGAGAATTCTCCCATTTCACAATGAGGGGAGAGGACACAGCTGCTGCCCCTGGAATAGCTGGGACCCTGGTGTCACAGCTCTTTCCCCATCCTTGTCCCCCTTTTCCTAGGGCTGTTCCCCCATTTTCCATCCAGCTGTGCTCCAGACAAGAAGTGAAGGTGCAAGAAAAGAGTGACTCTGTGATATTGTTATGAAAAGGCCTTAAAATCCTTCCCAGGATTAGGGCATTTTACTTCTTTTAGTATTGTCAAGTGGCAGTTCAGGACAAAGAGCTGAACTGTGCATTTTAGACTTGCTTTCCACTGAAAACAACACACTCATGGTGTTGTTATGTGTACTGGATGTTGTTATTGTTAAATGAAATACTGTTTTAACCAAAGAAACACTATGGAACATTAAATAATGTATTTTAAAGCAGTTCTCCTTGCTTGCTGCACATTAACAGAACTCACCTGCTGCAGGCACAAGGCCTAAATTCCGAGAACAGGTAATGTTTGTGACAGGTTCTTGCCTGGGCTTTGACAGAAGGAGGAAATTTTATCCCATTTATTTCTGAATGGAAATGCATGAATTGGTTCCAGACCACTCGTAGCAGAAACTCCTGTGCTCAAACAATTCCATCCAGGAACACCGGTTCTTACGGCATAAATATCCACAGCAAAACATGCACTGGCACAGATTTAATGTTTAAAACAACTCCCCTTTTCACATTCTTCCTGCAACAAGTTTTTAATCAAAACTCTGAGAGGATTCCACCTCTTTCTGTCAGTTCCCAAAGGAATTTGCAGTCAGGATCAAGTACAGACAGCTCTCTGCTCCTCCTTCTGAAGGATTTTCATTCACTCCTAATCAGTGACACTTTGGAAGGGTTAAATGAGCAGAAACCCTCAGTATAAATCTGATTTCTGGTGTTCTAACTCAAGGCAAATACTTTGGTGTGTGGAGCTGTAAAAAAAGGCCATGATGGCATTTCTTGGGCCCAAGTATTCCAAATTCTGGACCATTTTAAACACAATGGGCGGCACCTATTAATTAAGCCTGGAAATTCTTGTCTGGCAATGAATGAAAAACCCAAGCTTACTTTGATGTACAGACCAGAGGCAAGAGATGGAGTTCTGCATTTTATAGGTGCACTTTGGGTGTATTTAGGTCTAAAAAAAGATCTTCAGAGCTGCTGTTACAGAAAACACCCCAGCTGATCCAAGCCTTGAGAAATCAACAGCCAGTCCTCTCCAAGCTACTCACCTTCTCATGCTACAGGAAGTTCTGCATACTGTCAAAAACAATCTCTCTGCCACTTCACTGTGGGTTGTGCAGACCTCTCAGAAAAACACTGAGCTTCAAAGAGTTTCAGAGCAATTATCAAATTATTCCATTAAAATAATAACAGTCCCTGAAAGCAGGCAGGAATGCAGCTACAAGTCTCTTGTGTTCATGATGCAGGAGTTGTTGCTCTGAGAGGTGAGAGGAAGGTTGGGAAAGAGGGAGGATGCAGCAGGACTCACCGTCCTCATGGCCTTCGCGGTTCCTCCGCCGGTGCCGCTCGCGCCGGTGGCTCATCACGGACTCTGTTCCTGTCTCGTTGTCCAGGCCATCCCTGCTGCTGGCAGCGTTGGGGCTGTCACAGAACAAATGGAGACAATCACTGGACTCACCTCTTTTTCCCACCCAGGCAGTTGCAGCTGCGAGTACGTTGGTGCAGAAGGCACAAAACTGCTCTGAAGCTGAGCACTGCAAACTGCCCCCGGTTGCTGGGCTCACCCCAAAACCACCTCAGGGGTGAAAAGGGAGCTCCAAAATCACCTCAGGGGTGAAAAGAGAACCCCAGATCGATGCCCTGAGAGCCAGAGCTGTTCGCAGGAGCGCTCACACATCATCCTGGCGCTGGCAAAGCTGCCCCAGGGCTGTGCAGGCCATTCCCACAGGGAAGAAAGGCTCCTGCTGGGCCAGGAGAAGGGATCATTCTGGCACCCGCTGAGATCCCAGCCAAGAGCAGAAGCTGAAGCTCACCGGCCACTTTGAATTGAAAGCTCTGGCCTCGAAGGGTGAAGCCTTGCAAAGTTCACAGTAATTAAGTGCCAGAAGCACAGAATGCACTGGGTTGAAGGGGACCTTAAAGTCCATCCGGTGCCAAACCTGGCCTTGGGCACTTCCAGGGACGGAGCAGCCCCAGCTTCTCGGGAAATCCATCCCAGCACCTCTCCACCCTCCCAGTCCCGAACTCCTTCCCAATATGTCACCTATCCCTGCCCTCTGCCAGTGTGAATCCATTTCCCCTTGTTCTGCCACTCCAGGCTCCTGTAAAGCATCTCTCTGCACCTCTCCTGCCAGCTCCAGTGCTAGCAAGGGCCACAGCTCATTTAAATGCTGAAACTGGGGAAACTGCCTTAAACTTCTACAGATATAACAGTGACAATATAATCTGATGGGGGCCAAAGCTCCGTGTGGAAGATCTCCCTCAGAAAGTGACTGCTCCTCTCTGACCCATAAATCCCACCAGATTCAAGAGTCTCCACTCTCTCCTGCCCTGTGTACATGCTATTCAGGTAATTCAGCTCCCTCACCTGAACACACAGGGAGGGCAGTGGCCAGTGTTTACCTCCACTGAGCACCACTGAAGTGTTTCTCCTACAATAAGGAGATTTTTTTTTTCTAGATTTTTTTTCTGGAATTTTCTTCCATGAGGCTGGACATGCACGTTTCAGACAGGGAGTTAAACCACCAGCACTGTAACCAACCATGCCCAGGCTCCTGTGGCAGCTGAAGCCAGACCTGGCTGTGTGAAACCACATTTAAGTGTCACCTTTCCACATTTCAGAGGCTCCTGCACGCCCACACTCCCGTGCATCAACGAAATGCGCTGACATGCCCACCACAGAAATTAGGAAATCAAGGTTGTCATTCAGGAAAACATCTGAGTGCACATTTTAATCCCTACCAAAATGCCAGGCTGGATTTCAGTGCTGTCACACAGCTTTTTTTACACTTCTCAGTTAGTCCAGCACAGCTGGAAAAGGGGACAGGGTGACACATTGCTCAGGTCACTCTTGGCCATCCCAGCAGCACCATCTACTGACTCCTGCTCAGAATTCCCACTCCTGAATCACCTCAGAACCCAAACCTGCCTCCAAAAGGTGATTTAAACCATTGCAAAGGCTGCAAAAATAACTCCCAGCTGCTTTGTTCCCTCGCCATTAAATGCAACTCCATTTTCAGAGCATGTCAGAAAGGCAACTCTAAGGTCACTGCTCTCACCTCACCCCTGCACCTCCACTAGCAAACTCGGCTGAAAGTGGATTTGGCAAGAAGCAGCAGTGGAGCATGAAATGCAGAATGAGCTTCAGAACCCGCAGCAGGAAGGGGAAAAAATAAAGTTTTATTTGGATTTCATTAATGGTGAAGCAAAATATCAGTGCTGTCAGGCAGAGAGTAGAGTCATCACTTTAGCTCTGAGAAGGATTTCGTTCCCTTGGACAGGCTTCACCTATTCCTTGGATTCTTTGTTGTCCAGCACCGTTTCTGTTTGTACAATTGCACAACACCCAGCTCAACTGGCGCTTATTTATGTAAGGCCTCAATCAGCACTGAAGGAGATGACAGATGTTTGGTAGCTTGAAAAGCATTGAAATAAAATCACAGGGATTTAGGAACCAGGAAAATACAAGTCACTCCTATTGCAAAAGTGCCACAGCAAAATCCCAAGAAATGTAATTTTCCATAATTTCTGGAGATCAGAAGAGGACTGCAGTCATGATTCAGGTTCATTTCACAATGAAAGACTTGTTAAACTCAACGGCGAAACAAATCATTTCAAAGTATTGTGGATTCTTTTTCACTTTAAATCTACAGTGGGTATGCTTTAAAATGAAATTCTCATAGTGACAGAATTTAGGGCTTCATGCAGAGTAACAATTCTCTACCCTGTGTTATGGACTAAACTCAGGTCATCATTAGATTCTCTTCTGCAATGAAAAAATGAAACACAGCAGAAAAATCCGCTGTAAAATGTTGTGATGTTGTGGGCAATTGTGAGGAGAAGAACTCAAAAAGGCATGAAGGGAAAACAGGTTTTAGTCTCAGAGAACTCCCCACAAGCCAGATTCTCTGCTGGAGTTCAGAAAAAGAAAGGAAAAGTGATGGAGGAGAAGGAAAACAGGAAGGTGATTTATCTGGGAATGGGAACAGAGGCAGAAAACACAACCTGAGCAACATCCTTCAGCCCTCTGAGCATTCCCACATGTTCTCTGTAATATTTGCGAAGAAGCAGGTGGAGCAGCAGGGCATTGGATCCACGGCCCTGGCAGTGAGCAGCCACACAAACCTCAAGCCTAATTCCAAGCTAATTATCTTTTGAAACAAAGCTCGAGCTTGCAGCTGTTCCAGGCAGGTTTAGGCCGGGAAAGACAAAGCCTGGTTTTATTTTCTGGCCAGTTCAGAACACAGGAGGGCAGCACAGCCCTTGCAAGGCACTGCCAGGCAAGGTCAGGATTTCCCAGGATTTGTTGTCCCCTAAGAAAGGTTTTTCTCTGTGAAAGACTCACACACAACACTGGGGGCTCTTTTAGGCAACAGCCATCCCAAAAAAATCGCTAACAGGCAAATCCAGGCCACATTTCCTTCTCCAAACACAGCCTAAGAGCACTAGGCCCTGCTTTAAATCCTCCTGGTGGAAATTCCAAGGCCCTCCCTGGAAATGAAGGTATCCTAAGGACACCCCTTGGATCAGGAACAGGAAATAACAATATCAAAGCAGATATTCCCAGTCTGGCCACACACAGATGGAGCTGGCAGCCTCTGGATGGACATGGAGCAGGAATTATCCCTTATGGAAATTTTCCCTCCTGCCAGCAGTGTTCAGCTGGCTCTGTACCCTCCCTAATTACACATAACACACTCATCACTTGTCAGCCACACACTACAGAAAGCATTTGGGGCTCCCTCCCTACTTAACTCATCCACAGCAGGCTTGAAAATGAGATATTTTGGATAAATATTTCACTCTAACAATGACAGGGGTTTTTCATTCCTTGATATTTGAGTTTTATAACCACAACAACAAACAGTAGGCTTGCAGCAGGAAGAGAAATGAGGGTGAGAAAGAGATAGAAATTAGAATTTGATAAATAAAAGGGCATTAGGGCTTACTGGAATGATGGGGGCCGGGAGTCTCCAATGCCTCCTGTCCTCTCCAGGGGTGGTGGAAGGTCCGTGTGGCTCTCAGTGCACTGGGAGCCCGTGTCAGAATGGGAGCTTTCAGCCAGGACCAGCTGCCAACAGAAGAAAAGCCAGAATTACACAAACACCCACCAGCTTCTCCATTTTGGCCCAGTATGTTCAGCCAAAATCCCGGGACCAGGGGAAGCACAGGGATCCCTGCCAAACTCACAGAAAATCAGGTTAAATTCAGTCTCCATATGAAAACATCAGCAGCCTGGATGTGCACAGAACTCCTGCAAGCACCAGGTATTCTTCTCTTGTTAAAACAGGCAGCCCAGGCAGGGAGGGGATTTTGGGGACCTGGCACTGCAGCATCCCCCAAGTTGTCAGCATCCCTTGCAAAATGCACCCACAGTTAAAGGCTGTGCTCCCAGCCAGGCTTTGCCAACACAAGAATGAAAAGCAAAAGCTGGAATGTGACAGAAATACACCCCAAATCTGGTACACCAGACTCCTCTTACAAGAGCTTCAACCCCCTGAAAATGCACAGTCCAGTTTGGCCCCATCATCAAATCTCTCAGTTGCCACATCTCTGCTGGGAGCCTGAATTAAACCCCAAATCCACCCAAACTCAACAGAAAGATGCTTTCAAGGAGAAGCAGATTCCTGCTGTTCATCCTCCTTGTGCCTCTTGTGCCCATTTTGTCTCCAAATGTTCCCTTAAGACAGAGCTGCAGATACAAAAGGCATTTTCCATCCATGCCATGGAAACCAGGATGTGCAGAGAAGAGTCTTCAATATTTCATGAGAACCTGAAAACTTTTCACGCTACTCTGATGTAATTATCACCTTCAGAACTTCTCTGACACTGACATTTGCATTCAGGGATGCTGGAGGAGCCTGGCAGGTGGGGAAGGAAATGCTGTAGAGCACCCAGCAGCGAGAATCCCCATGGAAAAATGGAATTAAAGATACTGCAAGGATCCAACTCCTCATTCCAAACACCAAGGGCCTGCACACAGCATTCCCTATCCTTGGGAATTATCACGAATTCCAGTCCTGGACAAGGCAGGATGTGGATTTTAATGCTATCAGTATTTCCAGTCATTAGCAGGGACACTCCTGGATAATGGATCAATACCCAGAATCCCCATGGAAAAATGGAATTAAAGATGCTGCAAGGATCCCGCTCCTCATTCCAAATACCAAGGGCCTGTGTGGAGCAAAGTGCTTGAGAATGATCACGAATTCCAGTCCTGGACAAGCAGGATGTGGATTTGAATGTTACCAATATTCCCAGTCAGTACCTGGATAACGGATCACAGGCATGGCCGTGGCACACAGGAGGATTTCTGCACTCAGATCTCATTTCCAGTAAATCCAGGCCAGCCCATCTCCCCTCAGCACACACAGTGGGGCATCTTTAATCAGCAGAGAAAGAAGGAGTCTCCTCCTTTCCCCACCCTCATGGTTTGTAGCTCATTTTAATGACTGACAGAAGATCTCAGATTGAACCAAGATCTGATTCCTACCAAGCTAGCACCTTTTCTGTATTCATAAAAGAAATAACATTTTTATTACAAAAGGCAGAGATGCTTTATGTAAAGAGTCCTTTTGTACACTTTGGGCTTTGACATTAATATATATTTTTTAAATCTTATCAGCATTGGAAAAAAGCTCCTGACTGAAATGTACACCCAGGAACCAACCAGAGCACATCTTTTCTCTATCAGTGGTTCATCAAATAAGCATTTTTGCCTCCATTTTCTAACCTAGAAAATTTGCACTGCCAATTTTGCACCAGTGAGATGAAAGTCATCAAATATATCTAAATTCAGCCTAAATCCCAGGGGAGGAGAACCCTGCTCTGGGTTAAGCACCACTACAGAAAAACAAACATGCATTGATCCAAGACTCCTTTTAATTCATCTCTGCAAACAGAACAAGGTGATTCCCAATTAGAAATTCTGGTTTAAATTCAACTTCACCTGTTAGATTAAGTGGTTATGTTTTATTAAAAAGCCTGACAGTGGAGAAAGAGGTCCCCAGTCCTCTGATTTACAAACAGCAAGGCAGATGCCAAATTTTGTGTCAAATGAAATGAGAATTCTGTGAAGGACTTGGCCAATATTTTAAATGACTGTACAGAGATTAGTCTCCCATTAAGATGGGAGAATTTTGCATATCCTGTGCAAAAAAAAAATATATTTAAACAATCCACTGACCACACACAGCATTTTCTGGCCATGATCCACAGAAATTAGACTTGACCTGGAGGTGACCAGTGTGACTTTATCACCAACCCCCTGGGCACCTCATCACTTGGCTAAGTCTCTTTAAACACTGTGATTATAAGGTCTTTAATTAAATAAATCCTCAGTTAATGATATAGATCAATACCTTTCACTAAGAGGCAACAAAGGTCTCAGCTTCCCTTTACTTTTAGCTGTGGAAGAAGCAAAGCAGGAGAGATTCCAACTCTTAACTGGTTCATTTATTAAAGACTAATTCTAATACAGTGATAAGAGGGATACTGGCTGTTAAACAAGGGGATGGAGAGGAGGGAATTGGCATTCAGGATGCAGGGAATTACTCCTAGGAGCATAAACCATAAATACAAGGAGGAAAACACACACACTCTGTCAAAAAGGAACTGCCTGGAGACAAAACAGCTCTCCAGCACCACATGGAGTCAGCTGCATTATTCAAACTCTTATCACCAAAGCAGGAGCAACAGAGGAAGCACTAAAGGAAAAAAAACCCACCAGCTTTCCTAATAACTTCATAATTAAGGCTGCTTTCTTCCAAGTGGGGAAGTTAAAGGGAGATGTTTAGGAAGTGTGTTGGTGTTATGGAGATGCAAGGATGTCTCTGAGCCTGGAACATTCCCTGAGGAATCTCTGGGCAAGCGCTTTTGCTGACAAAAATCAAGCCAAGGGATGAAAAGAAGAAAAAATAAAGCAAAAAAAGCCAGAAAGTGGGTGTAGGCAAGATCTGTTCATCCCCTCAGCCTTCACACTCTGGGCTGGGAATGCAGAACAAGCCCTTGGCCTGAGGTATTTGGGAGCAGGAAAAAATGTCCTTTAAACCTTCCTGCTGAGGACAACACCTGACTCCAGGAGGAGCCAACAAGACCAATCCTTCCCATATTTCAGGATATTTGCTCTCCAGCATTTCCCTGCTCCTGGAGGAAGAAGCCTTGGCAAGGCAGAACTGATTCTGCAGGAGGTCGTAGGTCACCTTGGGAGTGCAAAATCCACTGCAGCAAAGCATCTCCTGGTGAATGCTACCCCTGGAGTGTGATTTCCTCAAGGATAAAGCACTGGGAATCCATTTCTTACTGATCTGCAGTGGGATTAGAGCCACAAATAGCCTCAGATATCTGCGTGCTGAAGGGGAGAGGGCTGCAGGAATTACCCATTCCTGATCTTCCAGCTGCACTGAGGAAAATAAACCACTTTAAACTTGAATCAGTTCATTTCCAGACCTCAACCTGAGATATATTTGAACTCAAGATACTGCCAGTATATCCCCTTTTCCCAAGCAGCTTTTAAATCCTAGATAAACACTTCCAGGAGTAAATCAGAAGCACAACAGTCATGATAAAGCATTGGCCAGTGCAGACATTTCCATGTTTACCTTCACAAAAAAAGTTCCAAGCTGTGCTGTCTGCAGGCATTTCCCCACAAAGCACACTTAATTTAAACACATCCTCTGGGGTGAAAATTTTGCCCCTGAGAAATACTAATAATAGTAATAAATAAATAAACCCAGGAGTTTAAGAGTTTAAATAAGTTATACTAACGTGATCTTGCTTTTATGATAACCAGGAGCTGGGAGCTCCTGCAAGAGCTCAGAGGTTTAAGCAAAACTTGAAGCAATTAAGTTGTTTAAACCAGACATAGACTGTCCAGATCTGTGTCTGGTTACAAATGGAGCACCCTCCCTTCATCAAAGCTTTTCCTCTTCACTTTCAGCTCCCTGTGTTCATCATATGAACTGAGCACTGAATATAAATGGGTGATGGCAGAGCAAATGAACAAAAAACACCCAAAAGAGCATTGGAACAACATTTGTCATGCTAGAAAAGAAAATCTGCAGCAGAAGGTGGAAGATCATTCCCACTGCACTGCCTGGCTGATTATTCCTGTCTATCAAAGGGATCTAAAAGATGGAATTATACTCAGCTCCATGGAATTCTGGGCTCAGTTGGAGCTTCTGGATGGGCAGCAGCCCTGCCCTTCTCCAGGCAAACACCTTCAGTTTGCTGAGGGTTTATGAGTAACAGCTGAAGAATAAAAATTCTAGGCAGAAGAGGAAGAATTCTGGGAAAAATAGGAAAAGTTCAGGATGCACTTGTTGAGAGAATTCCCACATCACTGCCATGGCTGCAAGGTGAATGCAGAATTCCTGCTCCCTGCTTTGCTGTGCTAGCTTGGAGTCCCTCCCTTCTCCCAGCAAGTGACACTCTGTCAATCATCATTCAGATAAATTTTTGTCCTTTTCTCTGACAAGCTAATAGGAATAAAGCCCTCCAATATCCCATAATTTTGAATGGAAAAGGACTGCCACAATGCAGTGGTTTTGCAGGAGAAAGGCAGAGTTCCAGGCAGTTCCCTGGCCACAAGCCAGCCCTGATAATTTTATTTCCCCCATCAAGCTTCCCCTGTGGTTTTGAGTGGCAGGAGCATTTTTTCTGGTTTCTGTGCTGTGCAGAGCAGTGCCTGTGGAACAGCTGCCAGGTTCCACCCCAAAGGACAGATTTCCATGGATGTCTCCCATGTGCTACACATGGAGGAAGTTCATCAAGGAGTTCATCAAGAAGTGTGGAACTAATTGCAGCTGTTGATTCAGTTCATTCCACCACACTGAACGCTGTTTCTTTTTACAACTGAGGTGCTGCCACCACATTCCTTACTCATCTATCCCAGGGAGCAGAGAGAATATCCACAGAATGTCGGAAAAGAACCTCAGGTGCTTTTGATATCCCCAGTGATTCCCACAGAGCCACCTCCAAGCCCTGACAGGACCAACACCAGTGAGTTGTGCAAATTCCATGCTGTGGTGACAAACCACTGACTGAAAGCTCCTGTTTCCTTCCCTCTTGTGC